CAGGTGTGTGTGTGTGTGTGTATGTGTGGAGAAAGAGAGGGGAAGAAAATTTCAATGTGTTACGTGGTTGCTAGTTGATGAAATGGGTGAAGGATACATTAGTGTGCATTAATAAAATTGTTCTTTCAACTTTTCTGTGGGCTTAATATTTTTCAAAAGAAAAATTAATTTGTTGCCAATAGAAGATTTTATATAAAAATCTGAATTTGCAGTTTCTATTGAAAGGAACCTAAAACCTTGCAATTTGGGGCTTATGCTCTCAAATTACACCATTTAGCTGAACCTAATAGATGGGGGATGTGCTTTCCAGTCAGATCTTATCCCGGCCCTCTTCCCTCATTTGGGTTACCTTCCTGACCCCTGTGGGCATCTGCATTTGCTCCCCTGGTCTAGAAACTGTTCAGTGAGCTTAAGATGGTATTTTATGCTTGTTTCCAAGCACTCAATGGAGAAGAGAAAAAAAAAAAAAGATGTTGTTATTATTCCCAGTGCTTGCTTCTGTAATTATTCCTCTTCTTAGATATTAGCCCTGGGCTAATACCTAAAACCAATTTTATGCGTTTTAAACAGGTTTTACCAGCTCCCTCTGCTAACCCTTTCCAAAAGGATGAAACAGCTTAAATTCCTTATAAGTTCTGAATTTTGAAATCACACTTCTGGGGTTAGGGAACTCTAGACTTGGGAGAACTTGACGACGTGATAGTCACCTAACTGACTTTCTCCTATGGACAGTTCCTATGACGGTTCAAGGGACTAATTCAAGTCAGAATTTAGTAAGTAGAACGTCTGTTTCACTGGGGATTGTGGTTTGGAATGACTTGGCGCCCTCTAAAGGCTACAATGAGAAGAGCAGTCGCTTACCACGTGCTCCCCTTTAAGTTTAGGGCTCCGTCGGAACTGTGACGTTTAGGAGGGTGGGGAAAGGGGCAGAAGCCGTTTGTGGCCTTCGAATCTGAAGGCTTTATTCTAACTCGTCATTTAGCCCTCCTTCGAGAACACGGAAGTATCAAGCTGGTGCCCTACACAACTTCTTTTCCCTCGGTGAGTATACTTTCTGCTGTCACTAGCATGACAGGAAAAACGGATGGTTTTTGTTTTAAACCGAGAGTACTTTGATTAAAGTCAGCATTAGTTTATTTTTTATTTTTCTTTTAGAACAAGGAGTTTGTGTTTGAAATTTTTTTTTAAAAAAGACAAACACTATCTTTGGCTTTGGGCTGTGAGAAGTAATTTGTCAAAATATCTGCTCTATGACAACAAGGTAAGTGTCGTGGATTTTTTTTTTTTTTATGGGGAAATGTTTCCAGAAGCTGCTTTCACAGAGGATGAATACTTTCCTTGGTGAGTACACTCCTTAAAAATGAATGTGATCTTCTCCTTCGAGAGCCTCTTGATTAGGGTTAAAGCAGCAGAATTAGAGAAAACCAGGAAGCAAAGGAACGTGCTAAGGAAACAAAGTTATGTTGTAGGGGAAAACCACCCTGAAGGAAGGTGTGGGTGAGAATAACAGGATCATGGGACTGTCTGTGATTCCAGGCTCACTTCTGATTTCATCTTTTGGATGAGATGGAATTGTGAGGCACTGGGAAACACAAAATACTCCACAAGTGTTATGTTAGGAAATACCGTAGCAAAGGAAGAGCACTGATAGAGTGATAATAAGAAATATAAATAGATCCAAGTCCAAACTCATACAAATCATAATCAGCTACATAATTTGCTAATCATCCAACTCTCTCCATGTCTCAAAAACGATTCCTGCATTTTCTGGTCTGTCAGGTACAGGATGGGGTTTTCATGTTGTTCAAAGGTCCAGTTCAGGGCTTCCCTAGTGGCGTAGTGGTTGAGAATCTGCCTGCTAATGCAGGGGACACGGGTTTGAGCCCTGGTCTGGGAGGATCCCACATGCCGCGGAGCAACTAGGCCCGTGAGCCACAAGTACTGAGCCTGCGCGTCTGGAGCCTGTGCTCTGCAACAAGAGAGGCCGCGATAGTGAGAGGCCCGCGCACCGCGATGAAGAGTGGCCCCCGCTTGCCACAACTAGAGAAAGCCCTCTCACAGAAACGAAGACCCAACACAGCATAAATAAAT